GTGCGAGCATTCAATAACATATTAGCACGAGTCAGACGCATGTGAGCTCTCACGCAGGGGAATCTAATTCAGTAATGATAGACACCGTACAGAAAAGCTAAAATCGCCGTAGTAGTAGAAGCTCTCGAGTGGGACCCGACGATTAATTGAACGGCCACCGAGAATTGAGGAAAGCAGACCACAAATATAACCAGCCGAACCCGCCACAAATTCGAACCAACCCCTCTCTCTCTCTCTCTCTCTAGACCTCTGTACTTTCCATGTTCGGTAGCTGAAAAAGGGCGAGATAAAGTGGAAAAAGAGCCATGAACTCACCATCGTCCACAAATCCTCCTCCTCCTCCTCATCCACCGCCGTCGACATTAACGGCGTCGGCAGATGCGTCCGGTAAGAAGATCCGGAAGCCCTACACCATTACCAAGTCACGTGAGAGCTGGACAGATGAGGAGCACGACAAGTTCCTTGAAGCGCTTCAACTGTATGTTCCTTTTCTACTCCTTCTCTATGGTGCTGCTTTCAACCTATTTTCGTCTTTGTAAAGGAAGAAACTTTTTGTTAAATTCTTTTGCTTTTTGTACAAGGCAAGTAAAATATGGATTCCTTCGGGAAACGATTTAGTTTCTTGTGATTTTGGAGTAGTTCGGATTTACATTTAGTTGAATTCATTTCTCCTTTCAAAAGGAAAATTTCCCATTATTTCTTTTTTCTTGATTCTATTCCTGTGTTTTGATAGCTTAGCAATTTAGAGAGCTGAATATGCCATTTCTCAGTCAAATTTGAATAGGATATGTGGGTTCGGGAAAAGGGTACTGAGCGTAAACTATCTAGAGCTTACTTTTGGTTGAATCTGGTGAAAATGTTTACAATACTGGTTACTTTCAAGCTTCAGTTCCTTCAGAGACTCTGCATTGTTTGGATATGATTTTCAAATGCTACTCTGTAGTTTGTATATCTTTGTTTTATGAGCAATTCAACTCCTGATGGCCTAGATGTTATTTTTCATGTAGAAAAATGGAATTCTAGCATGGTTTAGTTCTGAATTAGAAGTTTCCTATACTTTCTTATTGATTTAGGTTTGACCGTGACTGGAAAAAAATTGAAGATTTTGTGGGTTCGAAGACAGTAATCCAGGTTCAAATGCTGTGGTTTAGCTTCGTGGGTTAATTTTTTTTCTTAACTTTGTTGGGGTCATTGTTTTATGGATGTGTGGTTTGCAGATTAGAAGTCACGCCCAGAAATACTTTTTAAAGGTCCAAAAGAATGGGGCAATTGCGCATGTGCCTCCTCCTCGGCCTAAGCGAAAAGCTGCTCATCCTTACCCACAGAAGGCATCAAAGAATGGTTTGTTTTTCTTACGGTACTCTCATTTTATGTTAGGTTGATGCATTGAGTTGCATCCTGACATAAGTTTGCAGTTTTGATATCTTTGCAAGCTTCTGCTGCTTATCCTTCATCGAATTCCATTTCACCTGGATACGCTTCCTGGGATGAAGCATCCTTGCTGGTGAACGCTACAACAAGCATGCCACCACAAGATGAATTCGCAACTTTATGTGTAGCTGAAGGTATGCATACTTGTATTCCCTTTTCTTTTTTTTTTTCGGTTTCATTCTTTGATGTTAGTATGGTAGCTGTCCTAGTGGGAACTTTCCAGCACTTATTTTGGCATACTACATTACTGATTCAGCTGATATTGGATCAAAGGGTGTAACAAGGATTAGTAACATTGGTGTTAGTGGTATTGGAAGCCCAAGAAAGACACAACTCTGTTCTGAGATGCCAAAGCAAGAGAAACGGGCTCCTGTGCTTCATGGTAATTGTCTATACCATTATCTTTTGTTTTTCATTTATGTAGTTTAAACTTGGTGTCCCAGGTAATTTATGCCTGTCTTTTCAGGCATACCTGATTTTGCTGAAGTCTACACGTTCATCGGAAGCGTCTTTGATCCAGACACCAAAGGCCATGTGCAAAAACTAAAAGAAATGGATCCCATAAATTTCGAAACTGTGAGTCAAATAAAACTTGCTGTCAGCCTTAATGGTTTGTTTGGCAGTAGATACATAGAATGCCCTTGTTTGACCTTATGTTTGTGGATGTTATTAAAATAAAGCTGAGAAGATACTGACTAACTAAACTGGTATTTAATGGCTGCTGGCTGATGGCCATTGAACTCTGAAAGCATAAAACTATATAAATCAGGGCATAAGAGATCCAATAATAATAAAAAGAAATTAATAATTGTTGATGAATTGCTTGCTTGTTGCTTTTGCATTACAAGTGGCCAGGGTAGATAATGAGGGTCTAAGTCTGTGAATACCTATTGCCATACAAAGTAGGAAGCAGGGCATTGAGATACTGTTCATTCTATGTGAAAACCTTGTGATTTGTTATAAAATTGAGACCTCCTCAATATCATGACCTGACTCTTGCTTTTTTCATACAATTAACATTTTTCTCGGGTATTTTACATCAATTTATTAGATTCTGCATCCTATTGATGGGTTAAATGGGTTGCACGTGTTAGTATAGCACTTTGTGAGGTGGTGGAGGCGAAATGGGGTTGTCATCTATCTGGCACTTAACTGTCACATTGCAGTGTTTTGACTTTCAGCTCAGCTTAATTGGAATCACCTTTTCAAAGTAGTGGTAGTTCAAGTGGAGTCCTTTCCCCTGTACTCATCTATGGCACTACTTTTTAGAACTTCAGGGCCGTATTTTGAATATTAAAATGCTATTATTTTACCTTTAACAATGCATTTGCATGAACATTTAAAGTCTAGGTCACTTTGCACGAAAATCCTTAAAATCTGCTTTTTCCTTAATCTAAATGATCTAAGCTATTTCATATAATTCCACCTTCTGATTTATCCAGGTTTTGTTATTGATGAGAAACCTCACCATTAACTTGTCAAGTCCAGATTTTGAGGCAATTGTAAGTATTCTGAGCATCTAAACTCATGATTATAAATTTTATGTTTACTTGTATTTCTGGATTCACTTTTTTCTTTGCAAATTCCATTGATTTTAAACCTATATGCTTTCATGTTTCCATTAGCTTCTTTTATTTTTGATAGACAAAAGTTCCATAAGTTGCTGTACCTTGTTATCAACATATGGATTACTTGTTTTGTTTCACTGATTCTTTAGAAAGGATTACATGGAACCAAGATAGCTACTTTTGTTTCTCCCTAAAAACAGGAGGAAAACCTATCCGGTATTTTAGATTTTTTTTTTTAAATAGTAATATATAGGTAGTCGAGCATGAAACCTGAGTAAATAATGAGTACTTTTATTTGTTCCCAATATTCGACTAGTTGATCTTTCATATTTGGTTCAGAGGAATGTCCTATCATCATATGATGTCAAGACCAAAACAGTCGCAGTAGCTGCAGGAATAGTTCCCAACAACCAAACAAATGATTTATCCTGTTGAGTGCTCTTCCTGGTATGTATTTTCTCTACTTTTCCATCAAATTCTCCCATTTTGTTGCATATGTCTGACGTTAAAATTCCAGTGAACATCATATTGAGCTCAAAGTCCCTAATGGCTATTGGACAGCATGCATGGAGCCTCTCTGATGTTTGCGAGATTAAAGATGACCTTGCAGCAACCATTAGCAGAGAACAATAACCGAACCGAATGGAAAAGAGGTTGCTTTTGCTCCTTTCTACCGACCTTCAAGCTCCATACATGGGTCTTAATGCTGCAGAGCAGCAAGATGAATGAGAATGGTCATCATTCTGTTTTGACCTACTACCAGATAATTGTGTATATTGTTACGATGTTTGTTTACTAATTATTGGCTGTTAACAACACTTACCTAGTAAATTTTGCTCATTAATTTTTTTTTTCTCTTCCTTTTTTCTAGTTTTTATCAGTATATGTATAACTTATTTGATCGTATAAGATTGTTGTTTTTTTAGTTTAGACTGCTGAAAAAAATGCTGGTTTTTAGAAGAAAAATTATGCGGTGTTATAAGGATAATTTTTTTATATTATTTTTTAATGTAATTTTTATGTCATTGAATAAGTGATATATTTAATATTATGGATTTATATAAATAAAAAAATTAATTATTTAAATAATAAGTTAAATTATAAAGTTATATAAAAAATTACCTTAAAATTATTGTTCATAAAAATTACTATAAATGCTCGTGTATTTGTAGTGCTTCCGGTGTCCTAAAATGGAATTCCACAAAAT